CATGTCCGCGAACTTTTATATACCAAGTCCTCTTCAACCTTGATACCTCGAATAGAAGGCATAATTTACAAAAACTGCATTTAACTGGCACTGATATAATTATCTTTCTGGGTAAAAATTCATGGGGCAATAAAGTTGAGCGATAAAACTCCCAGTATATGCCGAAAATGGACAGGCAGTATGCGAGCTGACGCTGTGGGGCGGTGTGTGCTTTGAAGTCGTAATCAACTTGTGTGTATATGTGTATGTACTTGATCAATCAGGTAAAATTTAGCCTTTTTTTAAAGGCTGTCGCTCATGCAGACCCTCCTTTCTACCAAACCTATTTGGCACAACTCAGTAATCCCCATGTCTGGCTCGTATTTCGCAGTCATGCTTCACCCAATCATTCACGCATATATTTGTGATTCTAAGTGCGCGTTTGATGCATCTTCGATGGAGGTGGTCGAATGAAATCGGTTGGATTTATGCTAATATCGCTACTAGCTACTTATTGTTGAGCCAACAAGTTAAGTAGCATAGCTGTTCCCTCTGTCAATTTCCTTATAAATGATTGCAACTTAAATTACTTTCAACCGTTTTTTGGTAGGCTAAAAGACCCTTTTTGTAATTTTTGGGGTTTTTTATAATTTATTGGGTAAAAGCGCTTTACGTAGGCATATAACTCAGCCAAGGATTTTAGCTAATGTGCTTGGCCATTCTCACAAAGGAATGTGAGTTTTAAACGCCGCAATAGCTTGCTATTTACAATGGCTATAAAGCATAAAGTTCCGTCTAAATCTAGGTTGTGTTACTACAACCTTAAACATACATAAGTGTCTAGGGCAGATATTAATTAATTACTGAATATGGCTACTAACTGGGGCGAAAAAATCTGCTAGTATGTTTTTGCCTACTTAGTAATCTACTTGAACTTCTAAGGGGACCTAATTAATGGCCTTTATGCCAATTGGGCTACATAAGTGAATCCAGGAAGGAACCAACACAATTTCTTACCTCTTATTTAAACAAACCTCTCCTTGGTGGTCATTAAGCACTCGTTATTTAATCTACCTTTGCTGTTATAAACGGGCTAAGTAAATTTGCCTGGAATCACCTCAAATCGGTCTACGCGGCGGCAAATTGCGGAGTAAATTTGTCCAAATCCCTTTTTTACCATTCTTCTGCCCAAAGGAGAACGCCTCTTAGATAATGAGCTACGGAGAGTTTGAGCTCTTCATTTGCCCTTAAAATGCTACAGCTAATTTTGCATTGGTTTCAGACTGCAGAGAACTCTAAAAGGCATTTTTGGCTTCCACACCTCGCTAAGCAGAATAAAAGACAACCTTTAGCATAATTTTGTGCTTTAAAGATTAATGGTGTGGTGCTTGACTGCTTTTTTGCTATTCTTTCGTAACAGAAATTTTTTATACTCTTAATTTCGGATGATTGAGTTGGTCGTTGAAGGGGATCAGCAACAATAAACAATTTGGATACATGCTGCTGGTGATTAATAGCTATGCTAGGTCTTTATAAACAGTTTTATTGCGTTCACAGATGTAAGGAATAAAAAATCTGTTAAGTACAGATCACTTTGCCTAGTTTTCTTTATGACTTATGGGTACGTAAACAAGCCAAGGTTGTAAGTGTAAAGCATTTGAAAAAATGCAGTGGACTCTTGTGGCACCTCGAGACTTCCAAGAAGACGATAGAATGCACAATACTTAAACAGATTATGTATTGCCGACGTAGGGAACGGCTGACGGCTAATTGACATAGCTTGGAGGCCAAGGCGCCCAGCGGATGTTCAATTGCTAAGCTCTAAGTGCCTGCATTACCAAATAGAAGGGTTAAACAAACATCCAAAGGAGTACCCAACACCCTTCTTTTGAGCGTTGCCCTCAGGACTCCTCTTGGTCAAACTCTCGCTTCAGCCATCGTGACGTAGCCGTTGGTGTGGAGTTATTCACCCACTTGCAAACCATACTAGTCACCTAATTGGTGTGCTGCTGAGATGATGTCTGGCAGCAGTGCTACTGATCTCTCATGGCAATTTCACAGGATCTGAATTTTTGAACACTGCCCCAAAAGCAGTCATTTATTAGAGGAAAGGGTTTAAAATAGTTTCATGGAGAAAAAGCTTTACTTTTACTCCTCCTTGCTACTTTGTTTACACTTCAGTGCTGTCCAGCCATATCTTTTTATGTTCTATTCAGATGTCAGAGAGGTTGAGGTGTCGCATTTTCCCCTAATTGGCGACTTCATTCAGATGCCGCAAGCAGCTTTGTAGCAAACTTTTTGGGTAGTTTTGACTAGTTCCTCTTCAGCTGTTAATAACTTTCCTGCAGAACATGGAATTGGAGTAGTTGTTGAGGGTAGACAGCATTTTCAACCCTTTTGTTAAGAGTAGTCGCAAATTCTCCCATCCGCAGCATATGGCCGACCACTGTCACGTCAAAATTTATGTCAGTAATGGACATTAGGGTAGCCGTCCTTTGGGATTGGGTTTGCTTTCCACTGTTACTTATGTAGCACTCAAAGACTTCCCTGAAGACGAAAGGAGGCATAATTCCAAGGCGGTGTATGTGTCGCTGGCGTACAGGGGGCTGGGGCTACTGTCTTTCCCCGGAACCCATGGCACTCAGCAAGACTACAATAACAGAACGCCAAGTGCCCTCATGACCAAAAAGAAGGACTAAACAAAGAATCAAAGCATTACACTAAAATCATGCCGTAATTTGATGGAAGTAATCAAATAGCCGCGAGTAAATAAACCAATCAACACAGGTCCATCAGTTAGAGCATTGTGGAAGGGTTCGGTAAA